CTCGATATATTGTATATGTGAGAAGTAGATTACAGTTTAAATTGGGTTTCGCTAACCCGGATAGTTGCAAAGAGTTTTACATCTTTTAAACTAACTCTTTTATAAATTCTCCTCGACCATTCTGGCAAGCTGAAAACTCAATAATTGTACATACACGGTGTTGATTTAGTAATGATTTCTAAAAAATCTATCTTAAAAAATTAGATCAAAAACCCTTATTTTATGCGATTTTATTTTAAATAGAAAGATTAGAATTTTTAAGTGATCAAAAGCAAAATGGAACATTTGGGACAAAGGAAAGGATATATTTTTTTCTCAACTTCTCAACACTGACGATGTCAGAGTCGGTATTTTTAAAAACTGAGCACTGTCAACGGCTATCAAGTCTCTTGGCAAGAGTGCATTAGTCAAAAACGTATTTGACTGTATATATAAGAAACAATTTTATAGTCAATGGTCACAGTTTTGACAGGTAACGGATCCTTTATGATATTTCAGTAACGGTTTAGGTAAACAAACTCAGACTTTAACTACTATCAGTAATCTTGTAGGCAGAATTTATGACCAGAATGAAAAAATATCGAAGTCGAACTGTTTAAAAGTCATACACTTATACTCAATTCATAATGTAAGTACTTGAAGAGATCTTTAGGTAATAAATTAATTTGTGATTAAAAAATATCCTCTTCATCGTCATGAGCGATGAGTGAGCTGATAAGAGTTTTTCATTACACATGAACCAGGGGCGTTCCCCACCTGAATATATGAGGCATTTTGTACCACCTCGAAGGTTCGATCTCTCAGTGTACCACCTAAAAAATTAATTTATACAGCAAAAAAGCGTACCACCTTACGTTTGTCTGAGGCAATGCGCCTCAAATGTTCCACAGGATAGACGCCCTTGACATGAACAAATAAAGTTTTATACCAGCAAAAAAATTGTTTTCATTATAAAAAGATAGTCCAACTATGAATTAACTTTTTACTTTTTACTGACGAGGAAAGGTCCCCAAGTGTGCAATCGCTTTTTGCTTGAACTCTAATAGACAATAGGTAATCGACTGCGCTAAACCCGAATTTGACATCGGTTTGTGCTGCTAGACCTCCAGAGACCATGTTTTCAGAAACTCTAAAAAATAACCAAAATCTTTCTCAATGAGACATGATTGTAGACCGCAAATTTCTAATGCGATATCTTCCAGTTCTACACGATCTTTCTCTGCAAAGTTATAGAATTTATACGAAAAGCCCTAAATGTTCATTGTCAGCTCAAAGCTACACAAATAAGAAAAAATTAATTTACGGCTTTTCGTGTAAATTCTATAACTTTGCAGAGAAAGATCGTGTAGAGCTGGAAGATATCGCATTTTAATCAGAAATTTGCGGTCTACAATCATGCCTCATTAAGAAAGATTTTGGTTATTTTTTAGAGTTTCTGAAAACATGGTTTTCCAGAAATCCGGTCGCTGGAGGCCTGGCAGTACAAACCGATGTCAGATTCGGGTTTAGCGCAGTCGATTACCTATTGTCTACTAGAGTTCAAGCAAAAAGCGATTGCGCACTTGGGGACCTTTCCTCGTGAGGTCAACACAGCCACTAGCACTTCGCATGGAGAACAAAATCTGAACTTTTTTTAGGAAAAAGCTACTAATACTTCCACTTAGAAGTGGACGCTGACCAGTGATCGACGACAGCTGAATAATTATTTTCGGCTATCGTTGACGGTGGCTGAAACCTTTTTTAAGATTTTTCATCAGTTTGGTGATGGGCTAAGACACTCGACGCTTTCTCTTTCGGCGGCTTATCGACCGCTATGTCTATTTCCACCGAAATACTCGTACTCCGAAAGCTCACTACTGATCCATCTCTATTTACTAAAATCTGGACTCTATTTCTACAATAGAAACGAAAAGTCTTTGAGGTATTTGTCTTCTTGCTGAGATTTAAATAATCAAAACTGATTGCACCTGTATTATTTCCACGGCGAATATGGGTGTTTCGCCTCACTCTTGTCTTTCTACTTTTGTCCTATTCAGGGGCGCCTATCCTGTGGGACATTTGAGGCGCAATGCCTCAAACAAATGTAAGGTGATACGCTTTTTTGCTGTAGAAATTAATTTTGCAGGTGGTACACTGAGAGATCGAACCTTCGAGGTGGTACAAAATGCCTCACATATTCAGGTGGGGATAGACGCCCCTGGTCCTATTTCGAGATCAGATTGGTTTAAATACTACTCGAAGAGCTCTACAAAAGCTCCCAGACAATGACCTTATTGTAAAGATTTCTCTGGATCAGTTTTCTAGAGATTTCGCGACAGCATTGACTTTCGGACTGCTTTTGAAAGAGTCGAGAACAGTGGACTATGGAGTACTTTTACTCGAAACCGCAATCAAATCTGGTTCCTTTTGACATCTGGAATTTGACTGAAATGCGACCTCCAGGAGACCAAATCAAAAAAAACTTTTCGAGAAGATCGATACCTGATGGCTTTCGTAGAGCTACTAGAATAGTATCTCGAAAAGTGACCCCTAAAGGCGAGCATTTCTGTGAGCTTCTTCTCTCTCCTTTTTCCAGCGACAGAGATGGATTCATTTGTAACTGTATAGGGTTACATGATGCATGTAATGATACCTTGATCAACAGTATTTTAACTAGTGCTCGTATCAGCCTAATCATTATAACTAGAGGCTAATCGCGAAAACTGATTACTTTCTTGTTGAAATTACATTCTATAGCACAGGCACTTAGAAAAAGAAATTTAAAAGTTGATAACATTTCATTTTTCGCTTTATAGATCTGGATACGTGCACGTCAACATCTTGTCTACGAGCAATTAGTTTGCGAAAAAATAAAAAACCCCGGAAAGCCCGAACAGCATTTACTGATCAACAATTGAACTGTTTAGAGAGAAATTTCGGTAGACAAAAATATTTGAGTGTACAAGATCGAATGGAATTGGCAACACGATTAAGTTTATCCGATACTCAAGTAAAAACATGGTATCAAAATAGAAGGTATTTCCTATCACTGCTAGTAACAATAGTAAATGTTTGCTTATAATTTTCTAGAACGAAATGGAAACGACAAGCATGTGTTGGCTTAGAATTGTTTGCCGGAGCAACATTACAACGATGGATTGAACGGCAACCATTATTTTATGGACAAGGCACAGTAGAAAATTTTCCTTACTATCCGCCGTTATCATTTAACACAATGTCATCTATATTGACTGATTCAACGAAAGCTAAATTAAAATAGTGTTTTATACTTTCTTGTACATTATTTTTAAATTAACGTTTTTCTTTAATTATCATATAAATTTATAATCAAGTTGTTATAAAATTTCGACCTAGACTCCTTCATTTTTCATCCTTCCCTGTTTCTTATCAACATTAGTATTAGCAGGATCGTACGGCGAATAGTAAGTATAAGCATTATTCGGATAATACGGTGCGTATTGTATGCTGTAGAATGGTAACGAATTGTAAGATGATGGATATATTGCTGGCATTAGTGGATATTGCGGACCGAGTTGTTCAGAAGCGGCTGTCATAGCTGTATTAGCTATATCTTGACCTACAAGTTTAAACAAAATGGAATATACGAGATACTTTTCGTGTTACTGATAACTAAAAAAAATTAACCCGCAGTTTTAGATTCTTCATTAACTCTTTTTTGTGGACGTTGTTCGGGTTGTCTTTCTATGAATTCTGATGTTGTGACAGAGTTTGGCTCACGTTCTTGTACAAACCGGGATGTTGTTAGGATATGTTCGCCTGGAGTTTTTTTAATCATATTCACTTCATTTTTCGTGCCAACAACCTGTTCGGATGGTGGATATGAATCAGATAAGGTACCAAGTGGATCCTGAGCAATTGTTTTTTCTACTTTTTGAATTCCTTCTCCATTTGGAATATCAAAATGTCGCACAGTTTCTTCAACACGATTTACGGCTAAAAGCAAATTTAACTTACAAATTACTATCTGTAACTCCTGACAGTAATAATTACTCTGGAGTTGAGAACCACTATTTATCTGTTGGCTATTAGTAGATTTCAAAACTAAATGAAGGCGGAAACTTCTCGCTAGTTTGTTTGACAACATTTATTTAAGATTACTACTGACAATCTTTTGTATTGACATCATTGGGACTGATAATTGTTGATTCTAATATTGGTGGTAACAACATTGGAGGCGGCATCATTGGCTGCGATTGTAATATCTTGTCCATTTGAACTGACGGTACAAAACCTGCTTGTCGACGTTTACGACGACGAGAGAAAGCTAAACTAATAAACTTGACACAAATTTTGAACTTTAAAATTAATAATAGCTTGTCTTCAAATTTGAAGACAAGCTATTATAGCATTTATTCCTTCCTTTACGATAGCTGAGCGAAATACTTGTAAAATGCCTACAGAGAGTCATACTTTTCCAGCAACAAGAGACTATATGGACTAGTTCACTCTTCTAAATGAGAATGGGCAAATGTATGAAGTAATAAAAAGTCTATCTTAGAAAAAGCATTGAATTCATTCATTTCAATTGTATAAAGTTTTCTTCTCCCTGTGATAAGCAAAAAAAGCGTTTTAGATATACACCCAAATCCCTTTTTATGGCATTGTCTTCGAAAGACAGTAATAATGACTTTCATTCGAACAAAAATAATTTTTTTATAAAAATCATATCTGATAAAACAAATGAAACTTTTCACAATGATATATACATTATGTCGAATGCACTTTAGCCCCACGCTCACATCTAACGTGCGTTAATCAAAAAGTCTATAGTCTCTTTTTTTATCGTCCATAAATAAAATACATTACGGACGATGCAGGTAAATAACGAGATAATATGTTCAATCATCATCATTACGACGTTTCTTTTGTTGATCTTTGAGATGTCGTTTGCCAGGACGATAGTAGTCTTTATTTAAACGATTAATTTTGACACCATGTGGTGTTTCTAATAAATGATAAAAACGAATAACTTCACGTCGATGATTCCATGGATTTGGTCTCATGAACCATGTTGGCATATTTGCGTAATTGTAGGGTATCCACGTAGTATGGAACGGGGCTAAAGAGCAGTCGCAGCTTGTCATTTTGAAGTCATTGCCAAAGTTTAGGCTAAAGGAATATATAGCATATACAGACATACAGAGCAGGCATTTTGGAAACGTTTGTCATTTCACTCATTGGTCATTAAGAAGAACGAGACATATGATATACATTCACTATCCGCGAAGTGTAAAGTAACTGAGCTCACCATGTTAGAAGTCTATTTCGGTTCCAACAACTACGATCTTACATCAAACTCTCCTGACGATATTACTCGTATTGAGAGATGTTCGATAATCGTGAATTTTGGCAATTGATGAGTACTATGAGCAAAAATGGTCGGTTTCGAGAAATGATGATGTCTTTTTTATAATGAAGTATTAATATTTTGGGATTAAAGCCTCGTCACTTTTATTCGAACATCACTCATAGATGTTCTACATCTCCTTTTGATCATAAATGTCTACTCTACAAACTGAAATCATCGCAATCAAATTATTCATTTAAAATGAGACGAAATGAGAGGAATTTTAAGATTTGTTTTTTTAAGTTGTAAGAAAGTGCAGAAAAAAACCCCGGTACAGTAATCTGGATTCTAAAACTGCAGATTTTAGACCAGGTTATGACGTCCGAAGACTTTTGTCCGATCGATTCAAAAATATTTTGAGATTCAAAGCTGAGAGCACCGCATATATCGCGCGCATTTGTTGAATTGTAGGCTGATGACAATTGGTATAATCAGTTAGTCATATCTTGTTTTGACATTCAGTGATATAGATCGCAGAATAAAAAATATCATTAATGATAATTCGAAGGAATTCGCCCTCGTATGAAATAGAAAATAAATATATAAAGAACAAAAAGTGACCGTTTCTACCGCATTATGATGACTAACGTAGAAAGACTTACTTAATTTTCCTTTTTTTAAAGTTTCTAAACCTACTGCAGTTATACTTGACTCCAACAACTTTATAGCTTAAGATTCAGTCACTTATTGGTTCCATTCAACATAAATCGTTATTTAGACTTACAGAATGGAGAATGTCGTCGAAACGATGTTTCCACTCGTTGCTTGTTATGCACTCCATCTGGATCATCCACATGAGCCGCATAGATAGTTTTTGACTCGTCACTCGGTTCTGTAATGTAAGAAAACTACAATTTGTTAACATTAGCGTTAATGCTTATAGTCAATGGTGTTTACCATTAGAAAGATCATTTTCGAATTCTCTTCTTCTACGTTGTGCATTTACAATATCGTTAATGGCGTCATTATGTTGATCTTTAAATGCAGCCGTATTTGCTGGCTGTTCATGTTCATGCTGTGTGCCTTCAGATTTAAAATTTGCTTGTTGCATTTCAGTAGCTAAACTATCTGGTTGTTGATCATGTAATACGATCACTGAATCAGCATCACGACGATGACGATTATTAGAATTAGCTGAATGTGAACGCATGTCTTCACCTACAACCAACCAATGACAACATCAATAAGAGTGAAATTTGAGCATTACAACTACATTCGATTTCACTCTTACGTAGTTCTTTTTCGTCATTTTCGTCATCCGATCTTTTCACATCTGATGCTGATTCACCATTATTCGATTTTAAATTACTATTTGAACGACGCTGTTTACTCATTGATCGTTTTTTATGTAACATATCGGTAATACTACCCATATCTGTATCATCCATATCACCTGACATATCTTCCATACCGCCGGCTATATTGTCTCCCATACTACTCGAAAATCCTTTCGAAACAAACATGTTTAGAGATATTTACTAGACACGAACAAGAGTTGCTTACCACCAGAGCTATGTGGATCACCCTTGTCTACATGAACAGAAAGTTGTGTATGTTTCTTATCATTTCTTCCATTAAATCCAAGCGGTTGTAAAACCTGTCCACCACCGTACATCCTAAACAACAAAATATTATGTAAGTTACCAGTTAACGTGTACTTGACAATAGATACTCACATGGACGGATCTATCATCCCACCGCCCATCATCCCGCCGCCCATCATCCCACTGCCCATCATCCCACTACCCATCATCCCACCACCCATCATCCCACCACCCATCATCCCACCACCCATCATCATGGATGGGTCTTCAAAGAAAAATCATGATAGTCACAAAGTACATTAAGAATAAAAAAATTTATGTTTGCTAATTGAGAAATATGAGAACAGAAATTACAACATGGAATCTATCCTAAGGAAAACTATGTATGAAGGATATTACAATTATTTCTTTAATTCATTAAATGCTTCAACATTGGCTGAAAAATGATAACGTCGATGAAGAGCTTTGCATAAATTCAGATGAAAAAATTTGGTACCTACCCATACCGCCCATCATCATTCCTGGATGCGTTCCCATTCCCATTCCCATCATTGGGTGATAGGGATGAACATCGTGCCCTTGATCCAACGATGGATCTTTTTTCTCTGATTGAATAAATACCCGAAAATTTTTTTCAGCACCCTTATTCTGCCAATTGGGCATTGGCATTGGTATTGTAACAGGCACCATCATTGTATGAGGATAATACATTGGATAATTATTATAGTTGCTGTCTAAAAAATTGTAAGTAGTAAAATTTTATACATTATTCGCCTCACCAAAATGGACTTGCATACTTTTGACTGCATGATGCTAAATTATGAGAAAGATAAAAGCTTGAAAATCAGTGGGTAGTTTGCCTAAACACAAATTTGGCTAACCTGCATACTATGTTCCAGGATGTGATCGTGTTCGTTGTTCCAAGAACCCCCTGGTTTTCTGTGCTTGTATGAAAGAGCTACATGTTTTTCTTCTGGTTTAGCATCTGAATCGTGAAAAGGCAATGGTGGAGGTGGCATCATTCCACCGAACCCCATTCCACCCAATCCCATTCCACCCAATCCCATTCCTCCGCCACCGTACATTGCCATCATTGACGGATCCATCATTCCCCTAAAGTATTCAAATAGTTCTGTAAATTAATAGCACGATTCCGACTATTTTAGGATAAAAAAAACATGATTAATACGCACATTCCATAACCTCCCAGCATTCCTGGATGCATTCCTCCCCTGAAAAAGTCAAATGAGATAACAGAGCTATGGCTAAAAAAGCCTACTGGTTGTTCTACTCACATCATTCCCATACCTGGATTTATAGGCATTAGTGGAAGATTATCCCACGGATCTACAATTGTAGAAAATTCAGTAGTGAATTCTGTTAAGAAGTGTAACATGTTTGTGTTTACGTTCAAGAATTCCCTAAATAAGTCAAAAATTTCTCAGTAATTTTCTAACTGTATCTACGGTGTAATAGTTTAACGAAAAACTATGCGTTCATAATATAATTTATATACTGCAACTGAAGATATGTCTCTGTAAGCTCCGTCTTCTGATGTTATTGTAATTACGATTAGAAAAAAAATAATTTGTATGCTAAAAGTAATACAATTCAATATTGTTGACGTTTGATGAGAGATAAATAATGCAAAATACACCAACACCATTTCACTAAAATGCTAATTACAGATTTCTACGAAAAATAATATAAAAAATCTTGCTCAAACAAGTTTTCTAATCAGATAGTCACACTTTTCAAGCTGAAATCGTTAAAGAAAGTATTTAAATAACGATAGAATTCTAGTGAACTGATGATTATTTATAATTAACAAAGTATAATCGGATCATAATAATTTTTGTTTCAACTGTCAAGGATCATGATAAAACACTCGAGCAAAAAATTAGCCCAAAATCATTAATGTGATACGTTCGAAAAAATTTTTTACTTTATCTTACAGCATTGTAAATAAAAATGTTTTAGAACCTGAATTTAGGTACGTTCAGCTACATAATAAATATAAGTAAGTATTTTCAAACTAACGAATTTTACTAGAAAATGTGTTCAATATAAAGAGTACGCTCACTGAGGTAAAATGTTCTTTAATCTGTACTGCATCTATCCTAAAAGCATAAAATAGTGCGACCGTTTTCGAACTTTAGTACAGACTCCAAACCCTGGTACTTGGATTAAAATAATTTTTCTCAATCCAAAACATTTTTAATTAGAAAACAACAACAAGGTGATATTGAGAATTAGTGCAATAAATTGTACCGAATTAGGTAGTTCTCAAATATTTTCTGCGATATTTTCTCCTGACCAAAAAAATTTCATCTGAAGTTCTTCTGACGCATTTTTTAACAGAAACTAAAAGTTTTCAGACTAACTTTTTCATGCGAAGGAATATTATTTTGAGATACAGAGAGTCTTTTTTCCTCACTTTATTCCTCAATATGCTTTCCTATCCATGTGTTTTGTTAACTCACATAGATTTCTTACGGACAAAAAATGTTTTTTTGTTAAATGTCTGAAACATGGGAACTCTGCTGAAATAAGTAAGATGTCAGCAATTCAAAAGTTCAGTGAGAGTTTCCTTTTTCGTTTTTCTGCCATAATTGGACAAAACTCGTCGAGATGCCTAGAAAAAAAGTCAATTTTAGTTATTTAAAAGGCATTCTTCAATGAAACAAATTTTAAAATATTGATTTTTTGAAAAGAGCCAGAAATGAGTGAAATTTTGAAAAATAAGAAAACTTTTGATGTTTATTCTATTTTTAAAATTCTAAATAATTTTATTTCTGATTCTGAAAAAATTATCGTCAAAAACTGCGTTGAATGGAACGTGTTTCGGAATTTTAGACCGAGATTTTTTGGTAAAAGGTCACAGTTATCCAAAGATTCGGAAAAAATTATTTAAAATTTTAAAGAAGAATAAACATGGAAATTTTTCTTATTTTTCAAAATTTCACTCATTTTTGGCTCTTTTCAAAAACAAAATCAATATTTTAAAATTTGTTTCATTGAAAATACCTTTTAAACAACTAAAGTTGGCTTTTTCCTAGGCACCTCGACGAGTTCTATTCAACTATGATAAAAAAAATGAAAAAAACTTTCATTGAACTTTTGATTTATTGACGTCTTACCATATGGATACTACAGATTTTTAATGCCACAAATTTTAACAATACGTACGTGGATTTACTTTTGTTGCTTCGTAATGACGTAGTTTATGTGTCATTTGTGAATCATCATTTTGACGTCCAACAGAAAAATAGACACGTTTTTCAGTTGGTGGACCCGGTGATGCAGAAAAACCAGGTGGTAGAAACGCATGATTTCCTGGCAGTGATGGATCACTTTCACGTCTAAATTGTGACAAATGATCCACTGCGGATGACGGGGTTGCTTGTTGATTTAAATCCAACTGTTGAGGTTGTTGAGATGTTGCTGAGGCTGATTCCGACGATGATGCTTGTTGATTATCAGCTGATATTGGACCACAAACGACACAGCTAAATGTTAAACATGCCAGACAGAGGACAGTAGAATGAAATGTCCATAGCAATTTCATTATGTCGTTATTTATTATTAATATAATAATAATAATAAAATTATCGTGTTGATTATTTTATAGCTTCTAACATACGAAAAATGAATTTGATGATTTTGTTATTATGGAATAAAAAAGATTTATATAGAAAAAGTTTTCTATATGTATCTCTGTACACATAACGACTCTCTGTAATTCTATGGTTGCATAGTACAAGAAACATAATTATATTAGCGAAACATATTACTGAATACGAGCACAGCAACTGAAATGAAACATTTTCTATGATTTTCTTTTGTGGTCTCTAAATATTTGAAAGTTTGAAAAAAATGTCTTCAAAAAAGTTTATAAGTTAATGATTTTCAGTTTTTAATTAAGCAGAACAGTATACGCATATATCTCGCAAGAATGCTCTTATTTCAGATAAAAAGTTATCTAAACATCATTTTGCAGGTAATATAAATACGCAGGGATATACAACAACATCATTGCTAAGATGTTCAAATGATAGAAAAAGAGAGTTTACACTTATGTAGAGCGAACTATTTAACTATTATGCTATTTTACATTAATGATGAGTTCTACTATAGAATTCATTGAGTTATATTTAAGACTAGGTATACGGCCCAGTTTCTTTCGACTGTTTTTTGTGGCATCCAGGAAAGGTGTTATAACGCGGTTATTAAGAATTGCTCAGATTTGCGAAATGTATGATTTTGTAGACAATTGTTTGTTCTATGTTTGTTGTATGGAAGATAAAATCAAAGGTTAAAAGAGAGAATCATTTTTAACGAATTACTGAAGCGGCACGAATAGTTATGGCATTTAAGGATGCTCACATTTCTGTTACAATTAACTTTAAACTTTTCGTGTTTCAACAAATACATAGAATATGTTTACAAAACGAGACGTTCCGCAAGTTTGAGCGATTCTTAATAACCGCATTACAGCGATTTTCTTGGATGACCTAACACTAGTTATATAACTGGTGCATACCTATTTAAGATTAGACTTTCGTTTTTTACTTGTTAATAACAATTTTTTTTATGCAAAAACTGGTATCATTATTAATTAATATTTATAGTGTTAGTACTAAACAAGTACATTACTTTCGATTCAATGTTTCTTGTACTTGTTTTTTCTCTGTTTAACTTTGAACGAGATATACTACTTTATGAATTCAGTCAAAGACCAATTTGATTTTTGAATCCAACGCAATTAATTGAGTACGATATATACAATTTTTAGGCAGTTATTTTCGACACAATATGGCATTAATACACAACTAAAAGGTAGTAATTTACTGGCGCCACTTGCTGCTTTATTTCCAGTGCTAGAGATCTACAAAGTCAAAGTGAAATTTTGAAGAGTCATTCCTTTAATAGTTTGTTTTTTATAAATTTCTATAAATTTGTTACAATATTGGAACTAGTGCTTTTATTTACAAGTCCTGTTCGTTATGTTTAACACTATGCACATGTTTATATTTTGTATAGAGCTAAATGTTTTGAAAAAAATGGGTCGAGATTCGTTGAGTTTGCAAGGCCAGTGAGAGAAGAAAATAGAGAGAAATATATATATATATATATAGACTATATAGCTATATAACTACATATATACATGAGCGAGAGAGAGAGAGAGAGAGAGAAAGAGAGGTGCATATAGTTCTATCATGCTGATCAACTGACATTTTTGAAAATGTACATAAACTACAATACTTTTCTTTTTTTCAAATGTTTAAAAAAGTTCATACTCGACGGTATGAATGTAATACATGCATCAGACTGAAGTAAACAGAACGTGTGCAGGTCTAATTGTGACATGGCACTTCTTATTTTGTACAATGTTACCTTTTAATTTTTTATAGTCTCGGATGGTAGCTCAGCCTGCTTTATTTTCCTAATATCTACAATAGAATTATAATTTTTAGATTATTAGTATTAAATTGAAGAAGAATATGAAATTATCTATAGTGTACTATTTTATTAGTACGGTGTTATTATTAATTATTAGTCCCCAAACAGTGGATGCTCATTTTTTCAATTGGTTATGGCACAAAGTAGAAAAACTGTTTAATATTGACACTCGTAGAACGTTCGATTGTGGTTTATCTGATTTTCCACAACGTATTCCTTCAGCTATTGATCAACCACGAATAACAGGTGGAATATCAGCTGCCGAACACAGTTGGGTAAGTCACGCCACTAATCATATATGATAATAGATAAAGGACTATTTATTTTAGCCATGGGTGGTCAATATTATGAATTTAGGATCATTAAAAACTTGTGGTGGAACGATTGTGAGTCATGACACAGTGATAACAGGTAACAAATCGAATCATTTTACATCTTGAAGATTAATTCATTATTTCTCATCTCTCTTACCATTCATTATGAGTTTATTTAAAAAAACAATTTCGTTTGATCTTTTTATTTTTAGCTGCTCATTGTATTGTTGATGATACTGATATGATCAAAGTGATAGCTGGTGCTCATAATTTATTTGGACGTTTAAATTTATTCAATTATTATTCCATTGAATCTTACATTATTCATCCTGGTTATGTTAATTGTTGTGATTATGATTTAGCGGTAATTAAAATGGCAAAATCATTTGAACGAAGTGAAACAATCAATACAATATGTTTACCAACAGATAAAAATGAACGATTAAAAATTGATACACCCGCGATCACAGTTGGATGGGGCGGAAAATTTCATAGTGGTAGTTTAAATGCTTTTGGTTCATTTTCATTAAAACAAGGTCTTGTTTATATTAAATCTATTGACTATTGTAAGCAAACATATCAAACATTTGATCCTACGGATGAACTATGTGCAACGAACTTAGCAGATAGTGTCGATGCTAGAGGTAAAAAGTAAAAAATAAGAATATTATCCATTATTAAAACATTGTTTTTATTTTTTAAACGTCTAGAAGGAGATTCAGGTGGTGCATTAATGGTCAAAAATCAAACAGATAATCGTTGGTATCTATACGGTGTAACATCACATGGATCTAACACCGAAATAATTAAACCAGGTGTTTATTCATCAATTATTAATAAATTAGATTTTATTAAAAAATATTTATAATTAGATTAAATATTAGCTATTAATGTATGTATTGAAAATTGAATTTTTGTAAATAAAAATCTTTTTTTAAATAACTTTTCTCAGTGTGAGATCATAATTTAGAGTGTATAATAAGAGAATTTTATAATAAATTATTTCTCAGTTTTTAGATTCAGGTTTAATAATAGATTACTAATAAAATTGATCATAATACATATATATATATATATGTGACCAACAATCATTGACATAATTATTAGTAACAAAGAAAATGGAGAGATATGAAGTGATATTTTATAATTAAAATGCGTATTTGAATATGATGAAATAGATTAATACGTTTAAAATTAGAGTTCGTTTGATCGAGATCATCTAATATTACCATAATGTTCATTCAATTCTAAACAGAATAGTCTTATCTGAATGAATATCGTGCAAATAATTTCTATTTTTGTAATTAAGACTAATGTGTTAATCTATCATTTTCTTACAATATTACAGTTTGTAAAAAAATTCATTTTAATATCATTCACTCTTATCTCCATCTACTTTTAATGTTAACGCTAATGATTATAGCTTATAAGTTCAACTATTCGTCATTTTTGTTGAAATATCATGAATGACAGACAAACACTATTACGAAATTTGATCTTTTGACTAAACCAAACAATCATGTTTATTATGGCATAACTAAATCAGAGATACATAATGATAATAATCATAATAGTTGTTAATATCAAACAATGATTTATGAACATATTATCATTATGTGTCTGTCTTGAAAGATAATATAGAAACTATTTATTCTTCCAATGTAAAAATATGAAACAAAAAGTAAATGTGTATAATGAAAATTGACATTTTTTCATTGAAATCAATTACAAAAGATTCATTTGGAAGGTTAAATTATTTGAACAAATAGTTTGTCATATCAGTATATATATATCTATTTATATATAAGAAAAAAAATTGGTTCGTTGATACTATACCTTCATCAATCATTTTTTCTCTTCTATCGAATCAATTACCAAAGTTAAGATTACTAATATACATTTCTATTTATTGTTTTCTCTTACCAAATTACTATTTTAATAATGAATAGCAATGCAAAGAAAACGAATTATCAATACTTTATTAAAAAATTAGTGTAGATTTAAGATATTTTATACACTAGCTCATAAAGATGTTGACAGTTTAGATGTGAATTATAACCTTCAGTAAATCTATATTTACTAGTACTAAAGAAAGATTGACACTAATATATGTGCCTATGTAAATGCTAAATATCAAAATTACCTTATTCATTTAGTTTTTACATTTAAACTACTTTCTCAACTTGGAAGAACATAGGCAAAGTTATCGTTTTTTTCTTGTAAATATTGATAATAAAAATAAACAATTTTTGGCAGACAATCTCTCTGCATGTTACAGAAGAATAAGACTATTATTCTAACAGATTATACTATAATGTTCAACTATACTCTCGTTATTGTTGTTTTTGATAAATATACATGAAATACTTTTCCTTATGATGTGATAATAATGATTTTTTCTTATTCCTACGGTGTATTTTGTTTAGAGTTAGACTTATGTTGTTTTGTCTATTATGGATGGATAATTAATTGTATCTCAATAGAAAAAAATCATCTATCATTCTCTTAGAAATTCCTTTTCTCTAAAAAAATTCCTTTCCTCTAAAAAAAATCGTAGCACTGGTTTTTTTCTATACTGTATGAGAAAAGTAGAAGAATATTATATGTACGAGTATATGGAAAGTTTCTCGGTTAACAGCATAATGATTTTACATATAAATAGACAAGATATTAAAATGTAAACAGTAATCAATGATGATCATTTAAATCAACACTTTCCGATTGACAAGAGTAAGTAAAGTATTGATCAGTTTTCTATTATGTAATATGATACACTAGCGAATATTAACAAAAACCGAAGATTTCTCATAATTACTCTTCGATCGGTCTTTAGCGACTGTCCGTGAAAATTGTCCTACTTGAAGATTTTCGATAGGATTTTTCGTTGTCTTGAAAATCTTCTTAGCTCAAAGTTTTTCTTCTCATTCGACAATTAATTAGAAAATGTGTTTTCGTCAAATTATGCTTTATGTGGCAGTGTGACTTAGTAATTATGCTGTTTGACCCTTATGTAGTTAAGTCATTTTACAAACAGCGAGCTTTCGACACTATCACAGTATCATCATCAGGCGAATAACTCTTTGAGAGAGAAGAGAGACAACTATATATACATACAAAGATTTTTCTAAACGGAATTTTCTAGTTGTGATTTCTCCAACTAGAAAATTCAGAGAAATCACAACTAAAAAATTCCGTTTAGAAAAATCTCTGTATGTATATATAGTTGTCTCTCTTCTCTCTCAAAGAGTCATTCGCCTGATGATGATACTGTGATAGTGTCGAAAGCTCGCTGTTTGTAAAATGATTTTACTTAAATTCTTTTCTATAATTTTGAATATACTATGTTTCATAAAAAACGTAAAAAAATCAAAAAGCATCAATATAGTTAAGCCATGTAATAATCTTCAGCAAATTATTCATATCTTAATGCTTCGGATCACCTGTTCGACAGCATATTTACTACGCTCAGACACGTAATACGGTTCCCTCAGTTAATACAAGTTTGTGATTTTCCAGAACGAGCTCATAGGCAGTTAGTGAGTGTGTATATAAAACTCAAGCAACTGGGCGAAAAGAATTCCAGTCTAGTCTTGTGTCCAGCGTTATGGTTGATGACTAAGTACGGCATGAGTGACTATGTGAGAAACGTCTCAGTTACAGCGAAGATATCAGACTACTAAAACTGACTATGTCAGCATCCAGCGGTAGCTACAACGACTATTCTTGCTTCCTCCTTAACAGAAAAGTTGCGAATATTTGAGGCTTAAAGTTGCGCTCACTGGATATGTTTATACACACTATTTGAGTGAAACTTAATCTCTATTTTCCTTATAGTTCACATGATTAATCTTCTCATAGAATGTCTCTCAAAATAATCAGTTACACTGGAAATGATCTTTATTCGTAGCTCATGTTTGACACAATAAATTGTCCGTAAAAGTTGATATCAAACCTACGATTATAGATTCTGTCTATTTTTTGATCATATTGTATCTCAGGATTAGTGACATCACGTTATTTTCCAATAAGAGAATATACGTACAGCTAATAGTTGTTCATCTAAACAATACAAAGACATGATATAAACAATGTTTAAAATTATTGTACAGAATAAGAACAACCATTAATTATTCAGAGTCTTCAAGTGAAGAAATCACTTTAACAGTTCTCTTGTCTACGTAATGTTATTTCCATCTGGAGAATCAACTTTTGTTCAATCGTTCAGTGTATGATTAATATCGAAAAGATCATCGTTTCTTTCTCGTTTGTCTATGATCCTCATGTCAGTAAGAGAAGAAGAAAGAGAGAGAGAGAGACAATATATACATATACAGTTGATACTCAACACATATAGTCGATTTTGATTAATGCTTAACAGAAGAACACATAGACATTACTGATAATCACTTTTGCCTCTTCTTCATTGTGTATGTATGAGGTATATTTGTTAGAGTTTTTGAACAGACTTATTCTACTGCCTCTTGTAATCTGATTTAATATAAATTATACATATAGATAGGCTGCTGACACAAGAAAAAATAATAATGTCTGTCTTTGTCTCTCTCTTTCTCTCCTTTAACAGAACAGTGATAACCTTCATTTCGTATCCATCATTCATTCAATAAAATTTCACTTTACATCAATTAAAAGCCGTATCACAGTTTTCTCTCGACGCACATATGACAGCTAGTTAATCAGTGCTAAAGTCAATTAAGTGCGGGTAAGTTATCACTTGATTAGATATTTATTTTAACTGTTAACTACATGATGATATCAAATATAAGAATCAAAACAGATTTTTTTTCTCATTAAATATTTGATGACTCTCTCAAATCTCCCTTAATGCGCGAATACTAAGGTTTGCAGAATAATAAAATTTATTGGTTAAAAAAAATATTCAGGTAGATCATTGGTTCTTCCATAAAAATGTATTAGAATACTTTAGTCTACATATTCGAAAAATGAAGGAAATCCTAGAAGCACGGATACTAGTTGAATGCGTTGTCTGAAATCTCAATTAATCTGCAATCATGTTTTGTGAATTTTCAGACTTATTCGTCAATTATTTCGCCGATCCATCGAACGATGCGTGCAAGCTGTCCTGGATTTCTCGATCGCCATGGCATCTGGAATAATGGTTTCGATTGTCCACCACCTTCAGCTGGTCCTATACGTATGTGTTGTGGTACAGAAAGTGAACGTTATTGTTGTATTTCTGACGATAATGATCAAACAAACAGCAACAATAACATTTATTTTTCAAATAAACATCAATTATTTCGTACACTTTTGTCATCATCATCCTCAAAGCCAAAGTTATCTACTTATTTATCAGCAACAACAATGAACGATCGTTTTTCTAATTATACACCATTTTTAACTGGGGTATTTAGTCTATTTATATGTTTTCTTATCTGTCTGCTATGTATCTATCTTTATTTTCAATTTACTCAAAATTGTTGTTATCCTAAACGAAAGAAACAAAAAGGAACAAAAACAGGAATGGTTCGACAGTCACAACAGCATGATGGTTTATTAACATTAACGACACTTCAACCATTACCATACCGAAATATGGCTTATCTAACATCATCTTCTACTTATCGTTCCTCACAACAACAAAATCGTATATCAACAATCTCAAGTGAAACGGGAAAATCTTCAACACGTACAGACACATCGGTTTGTGACTTAACACCCTTGAATTTATATCCAACGATGACAACATCATTGTTAATTAGCGAAAATGATGAAACAAATCAACCACAAGTTCATCAAGGTTCTCCAATATCTTCATCTTGCTATGTCTTTCCAAATGAATTGGAATATTTATGTCATAAATAATAAATAATCATTTTTTACAATTATGCTAACTCAAGAACACTTCAGACTGTTTGACAAGCATGTAGAGCTACATGAAGCTCAACGACAGATAAAGAACATTTTTTCTGATTTGTCAGACAGCAACCTTGCACAAACTATAAAAGTTAACACAAAGAATGATACGTGTTTAGATAACATCAAATGTTTCAAAAAACTAATCTTAAAACGTATTTTATTTTTCATTTATCAAAATACTTATTCAAAGATACGTTTTACAGTTTATACTGCTTTTGTATTGTTTCATAGATTTAGAACAGAAAACATGAGTGATGTAATAACGATAACAAAGAATAATAACAGCAAGAAACAGAATGTCAGTAAAAACGGAAAATAACTTGCATAAAAAGGCAACGTATTTAACAACTATAAGAAGGACAGAATGAAAAAACCTGTAGGAATCAGCCCCTCCTAAAAATATTTTAATTTTAATGTAGATCGAGAGAGAGACTTCAGTTTTATGTAGTTTTCCGTATTTTTCGGAGGTCCGAAATGCATTTTGTTGCAAAAAGTAAATTATAATAAATTACTAACCTTTTCGACGCTAGATTGCCGTTAAGAATTTATTTTCCGTAAGAAATGGAGATGTAATTTTTTTTCAAATATATTAATCGACAGAGCTTGACGAGCTGACCAAGAATATGTACGAAGGAATGGTTGAGCGTAAAAATAACGCCTTATCAAAAAAACACTTTGGATTTAACTTTTTAGCACTATCTGCTACCGTATTTCGCTTTTTTCTCTACCATTCAACCTTTAATCACCAACCATTCCTAGTGTAATAAATAGCTCGTGAAAAGAGCTACAAGAATATGTATAAGTAATTGATTCCACTGATCGGAATCACTGTAAAATCTTCAGTATAATCTCAACAGCACTTTATTAATCTGTATTTTTGCTCTTTTTTGCGTTTTTCGCCACTAAAGCAACTTTAATCACAAACCATTCCTAGTGTAATGAATGGCCCGTGACAAGAGCTACAAGAATATGTATTAATAATCGAGTGAAAAGTTTGGGATCATGGTGAAATCGTGACAATAAGTTCAACATAACTTAAAATCAGTATAGTTTTGGAAATAAATGCAAATCTTTGCCATCAAGAATAGAGGGCTGCGGGACAGTCCCGGTCCCGCGGGACTTTTTACGCGACCCAGAAAAAACTTTTTTACGGCGCCGAGACCGGGATCTAGAGGTCTGCGGGATTGTCCCAGTCTCGTGGAACTTTTAATAGGACCACGACCGGTTTTTTTTGAAAATAGTCTTGTATGAAGTATAAAAATTTCTTAGTTTCTGTGCCTGTTTGTATGTAGCCAGTAGTTCTGCGAGAAAGAATTCACACATAATTCGAAAAGTCCTCAGTTAATAATCTCATCCCATAGTGCTATTTTCCAGATTAGCTTGAATTAGTGTCGCGCTGACATAGTTTGTTCAAAGTTCAAATTTTTGTTAACACAGCTAAAGCTATAAGTTTCTTCTAGCTTAAACAATAGAAAAGGAAAAATGTCTACTGTTGAAAGTTCATAGTTGAATACTATTCATTTTTATCCATCAAAAAAAGTCATCATCAAGTGTTGCAGTTGTTGCCATTTCATCGTTATCACTATCATTATCTTTTTGCTTGTTATGATCATCGTCCTGCTCTTCATATTTTTGTTTTTTTGTTAATGTTTCTGAACTTGTGTCTGCAGTAGTATTACATAAATCTTTGTAATTTACAACGCGCTGACTTTCAAACTACGGGCGCTACTTTGAAAAAATATTTACGGGACCACGGGACCGGGGCCAAAAACGTTTGGTCCCGCAGACCTCTAATCAAGAATCGTTTTCAAAGCAAAATAAAGGTAATATTCGTAATCAGCGCTAAAAGCTGAGTCGAATGATGTGATATTCATGATTTTAGCAAAACTTTTGTTTCTTCATCAAAAGTCGCCTGTGGGGAACCATAGGCAATTTTTTAGTTTTATTCGTGACGGGGACCTCATCTGAGTTTTTGACGAAGAAACAAAAGTTTCAATTATTCAGAGTCTTCAAGTGAAGAAATTACGTTAACAGTTCTCTTTAGAGATGGGCAACCCGATCCGTACCCGTACCCGACCCGACCCGAAGGTTGGGTACGGGTACGAAGTTGTCGGGTACGGGTTCTATGTTTTTTTAACTTACCCGAAAACCGGAAGGTTCGAGTGGAAAACTCTCAAAATTTTAGTGAAAAAATACCGGAATCCAGCTAACATACATTAAGGTTTAAAAAAGAATTACTTGAGAACGTAATGATAATTTGACATGTTCAGCCGAAAAACAAAAGTTTTTAGCTGGAAAATAAAAAGGAGAAATCTTTTAGGTATAAGTCGATTACGGGTCGGGTCGGGTACGGGTACGAAAATGGTACCCATGCACATCTCTAGTTCTCTTGTCTAAGAAAAACAAATGTATCGCAAAAGTCTTGATGAAAATTAGTAAATTCTCTTAACGCACAAGATCAATAAACATTTCTGTTGAAAAGAAGTTAAAGAAAACTACAAGAAAAGTACAATAAATAACAATGAATACCATAAAATAATTCCTCCAAAATCTGTACTTTCAACTACATCAACTTTTGCTGTTTTTACCATTTGTCTGTCGGAAATGGAAAACTGTTTAGGTCAAATAAATCCGAATATAGCTAGCAGTCAAGGTGTTATGTCAAAAGTTTTACTCAAGGATGGTCTGATAATAGGCACATAATTTTCAGACAGCTGTTTAACGTCAATTGTTGCAAACGATCAATTATTCGTTTGCGTTTTTTTTGATTTTCTATAGAATTGTTAAAAGAAATAAAACGCGTCTTTTCTTCAAATCCCCGACCAGCAGCTTCTATCATCTCAGCTTTTATCTCTCAATTGGTTTGTTCAACTGACTTCAAGCACATCGAAATAAACGATGTGATACGCAATGTGTTAACATTTAGATAGATAGGAAAACCATATGTATTCAATCTAGATAAATATATCCCAACTGAACTACAGTTGTTTAATATGAGCACCAAAAATATATATACTAAATATACAACAACAATAACAATAAAATTCGATAGATAAACAACGGAACAAAACTGAAGTACATCAGTCTCAAGTCTAACTAGTAATTTTCTTTTTTACTTAGAAGTACCGAATAAAATTAGATTACAACAATGGTGATACACATGAAAAAATCGTTTTTTATCTTTTCAACATCGTCTCACGCCCACAGTCTAAATACGCCTATGAAAAAGCTTGTCAGCGTTGGTTCTATGAAGCAAAAATGTGAAAACTTCCTACCGAACTGTTGGACTATAACATAGAACATGCAATAATATATCGTCAAAATTTTTAAAACTTGTGTCTGAAAACATCAGATGCACTGTCTGTTACTGGTCCATTCGCTAGCTGTAAACACACATTTAAGTAAACACCAAATTTATATTGAAATTTGGTCAATCACATTCCACCCCGAAAGTTTACAGCTACTGACAAAAAAAACCCTGGGAACCACAAAAATCCTCGTATATAAACTTTATACTTCAAACTTCCTTTTCTGTCGGAAAACGGACAAGTCCTAGGAAGTTTTCACAAAATTGCATAAATCATTACGGGCATGCTGATTGTTGAAATAAAATCGAACACTAATAATCGAGCACCCCGCAATAAATAATAACATACACATTGATTTCTCGTCTATGAAATAATCTTACAATTTTTGATGTGGACAATTGAATTGAAATTTCTTGTATTATAATAAACGAAACATTCAGTAATAGACCTGTTGATTAACTAACATTTGTAAATGTCGATTCTAATACAGTTGAACTAAAGGTGATGGACTTCTCACCATAACTAAGTATAACTATTAACATAATTATTCGTAAACTCGCTGGTAACATATTTAATAAACCCTTTGCATTTTCATAATATTTTATTGGCTATAACAAAGAGCAAACTAGATTTCATAAACCTATTGAATAGGTTTATGAAATCTATTCTATCTAATCCATTGAACTAAGTGCTTTTGTTTATTATATATTTCAGAAACAACACATACTTTTCTTCCTCCAATGAACGAGTATAAAATGCAAGCAACAATCTTAGTGTGTGCGAAAACGAAGTATGTTTTCATTTTTCGCTCTCTCTTTGTTTAAGACGAAAAATATAAAAGAAAAATAGGATCAAACAATTTCATACGCGCAAACATACATCAGCCGAAATAAGAAAAAATTGTTTCTGTCTACAAGAAAAAGATAATTTTCTTTTTGCATCGTGTATTCATTTTCAAAGACTAGCATGATGATTATTCGTAATAACAGCTGAATGTTCTCCACGATCATTGTGTGTTGGAATAACACCATTACCGGATGTTAATGTTGAATTTGAATGGAGAGGTTGAGGTATAGTAGTTTTATATTTTCAATTTCTGTTTGTAATTGTTCTAATGTTTGAGGCTGATTATTGATCTAACTTTTTGATTCAATTTCATCTAGACGTTTTCTAACAGTTGATGTTTGAGTTTTTAATGGATTACTTTTTCCTTGTTAAATAAAATTTCATGTGTTAAATCATCTATCAATTGTTGGTCATTAACATCAGGAAATAATATTTTTAATTCATCACCTAAATGATTGTACATGATGTTAATGTTTCATTATCTCGTATACGATTTGACAAAAGTTCATGCTTCTCATTGAAATCATTCAGTTTTGTTAATAATAATTCATTTATTTGTCGATGTTGAACAATTTTATCATAAAATGTTTGCAAACGTAACAATAATGATTGAAATCATGAAGACGTTTTTCAATTCCACCAAGATGCAGCTAGATTAAGAAAGAAAAAAAGCACACACAAAAGACAACACGAGACACATGGAAAACAACACAGCAGAGTAATAATAAAAAAGAGTAAAGACACAAAACGCAACAACAGTACGCACACACAGGACATAAAAAAACGAGGAAAGAAAACTAAGAAAGTTTTTCGATAAAATCCGCCAGCAGTTTGTTGGTTATGTCCAGTTTGCTACTCAACAGCTGAAACCCGACGTTCGTATCGGTCCGTAAGCTATCGAAACCCGTGTGCAGAGTCTCTATCCCTGTCGATAGGTTCGCTATTCCTGTCGATAGGTTTTCTATCCCTGTCGATAGCGTCTTTAACGTAACCACGGGGGCTGGCGGGGAGTCAGCCTGCGGCACGGCGAGTGCTGTTTGGTCAGTTGACATATCTAAAACAAAGTGATGAGAAAAAACTATACATGCACCACCTATACAGTGCTTGATATGATAATGAATCACGGGATATCTCAGCTGAATCAGCTATATAGTGACTCATTATCATATCATACATTCTGCTATAGCTTTCCTTATATCAAACAGTACAGCATATACATATATGTATTGACTATGAACGATATCACGTGATGATTAATTATCTCAAAGGAAAAACGATAGAGTTTTCTAAAAACCGTAGATGACCGAGAACGAGTGGCTCACTTCAAGGCGAAAAAATAGTCTAGAAAGAAAGATCATGGTTTGCTAGGCAACGCTCGAACTGAAAAGCAGTACGTCTCCTGAGTTTCACTTAGTCGACTTAACTAGATGCCAACTGTCCTACAGGCAGATTGGAAACCCCACTGAGTGAAACGTTTTTTAGAAATACTATCGACAACATTTGAATCCCTTAAATACAATTAAAATATTACAGTGCCCCAGTGGTAAACATATTGATGGATTCTATCGGTAGTAATGTTTCAGACTATAAATGCATCATACTATACAGTAGTATAGACTAGAGACCAACTATGCTGTGCAAAGATTAGAAAGTCGACTGAGTGAAACAGTAAACGGACAAAATTAAAACATCCAGAAAATATAAGAGTTTGACTTTTTTCCAGAAAGATAATATTCAAGAAGAGTTGAACTGATGTAGCTGATCCAACTAACATATCAGCTGATTTATTATCATATCTACATTCGACTATAACTTTCCTTATCTCAACCACGACAGTACAGATTCACTGTGAACGATATCACGTGACGACTAATTATCTCAAACGAAAAAAGGTTGAGTTTCCTAGAAAATATCCTCATTTTGCACGCCTGATTTTAGGATAGCTAAAGCACATATCGCAAAAGTAGCTTCAGATGTGTCATTTCACTCTTCTACATTCAAACAATCTTTTTATCAAATCTGTACGATCAGAGATGACTGGCTGAGTGGAACGTGCAAAAAAAGAGTCTGGAACTAGACGGCAACTAATTATCTCAAAGGAAAAACGATAGAATTTTCTAAAAAATGCTCCGACTGCAAAGCAATAACTCTCGTGAGTTTCACTCAATGGACACATAAAAACGACAACTGTTCAAACAGCCTCAGTCGCCTTATTTTGACGTGTAACTGTGGTTCTACATTTCTGTTGTGAGATAGCGAACAAAAGATCAAAATGGTATTCCATGGATAGACGGAGCAGTGGTGTAAAGTAAACCTATGTTGTCGCTGGCCATGCGAATGTACAGTTACATCGTTCTAAAAAAACTTCTTCAGAAAGAAACATTTTGTAACTGAATTTGTCACTTGAGAAAGCTGCTTACACCTTTTCCGCAGCGACGTATAGTAGCGTCATCTATAGCACACTTTTCTGTAAGTTATTGTTTTCAGCAGAAAGTTAACCATATTAATTCTTATTATAAAACACCTATCACTCTAAAAACTTTCTGCACCCTTTTTCGCACATGCGTATGCCTTTCGCTAAAATTTAATTTCATAAACATCCATCACAAGCTATTATTTTCATTAAAAAGAAAATTCCTTCTGTGTAGTCATCGATATACTGAAATATACATGGGATGAAAGCACACGTTTAGGCCAAATTATAAAAGAATTAACAGATGTCGCAGGTAATCAAGCGCTTAAACGTATATTGCTTTGTATACTTTATCCAAAGAAGAGCTTTTTTGATGCGCTGTGATTACTCAATCCATCATGTCGCTCGAAAGTTCTACATTCGCCCAGGTCCACTGTCACGCGTCATTCGCGGTGTCGCTACCGCGATCCCTATGATATCCTGCATGTCGCGGCGCGATCGCGGTGAAATCTTATATTCGTGTCGCGATCGCTATAATATGGCGAAGTCGCGGCGTGATCTTGATCGATTCTTATTTTGAAAAGAATTTTTTTTTAAGTGTCGCTGCGCGATATGTAATCGCGTCGCGATCGCTATAATGCCGCGAAGTCACGACGGGACTCTGAATTCTGCATCAATTCGATTCAGATAGATTTCGAATTCATATGGGTTTTTATTTAGCACAATCAGTACCATATCGCTATTGCGCGACGCGACTCACGTCAAGGGATTTTATTGATGGATATAGTTAGTCATTTTCTTGAATTACAAGAACGCAAAACAATTCTTTTTCTCTTATTTCAAATTGAGAATTTATGTTTCGTATATACGAATAGATAGCCCACATTCTGTCTATAACATAAATAGTATACTATATGTCTAGACACATAGACACGTGTGTGATCGAATATATGTGTTTTTCTAATTCTCATTTTAAATGAGATATACAAAAAAAAATCAGTGTCCATATTATACACAAGACACTTTGTATTTTCTTAACATAGTGTGCGGACTATTTTTATACTCGAATTTTTTGCAGTTTGTATCTGCTTTTTTCACTTTTTCAAAAGGGAATTACATGAAAAAACAAGTAGTATACAAAGTAAGTACACAGCAATTTCAACGAACGAAAGAGTATGGAAACATAAATCCTTCCGTGATCCAACGTATGTCTCCTCCGAATGAAACATACAATATGATATCAACAGAAAATTGCCGTCAGATCACAAAACAATGATATTGCATCTATTTTTCATATATAACAGTAATTAAAACAAGTTTAGTATTAAGAACAAAAAACCAACTATGTATTGTATGTACCAATTAATCAAAAAGAATTGCGTCGTTGGCATAACGTCTAATTGTGCAGAATGTGCAGACGAATGGACGTTGGTTACCAGAGCAATATAGACAGGTTTCATTAGAGCAAGTTGTGCATGCAGTGGAAGATGTAGTTGACTTCTTACATTTATAACAATCAGGATAAGTCGGGAGGATCGGATGAAATGAATAAGGCTGAGACAATGGATCAGTAGTCATGTAATGATTTAAATTAGCATTTAAATAATCTTAATAAAAGGTGAGATAGTCTACAAATAATTATATGCTGAAAGAGATTGTTCGAAAGGTAGAATTTTATAGGCATATGGAGTTTCATGTTCTCTATCGAATGAGCTTTGAAACGAAACTCTGATACTTTATCGTTAAGTTAAAAAATGAATCTTAATTTTTAACAAAATTTCATTAAAACGCGTATATCTCGTTGAGAACACGTTTGAAGCACTCACATTCGAATAGAAAATCGATTAGTTTCTTTCACTTTTTTGTTAGATCTTTAAAAGAGAAACATATGTGTGATATCGTTTTCAGTCTTTTCCTTTCGTTTAGCATTCGCTGATGGAAAAGTAAGATTCAACGTATATTTCATGGATCCTTATTTACGACTAAAAGAAGACAAAGAGAAAACAAATTCACGTCAGAAGAGTTAAAAATTTCGTGTTACCAAGAACTTTTTCTAGTCGACTCGCTAATAACGAACATTTCGTTAGACTTTTCGGTTTCCAGGAAATCAAGAGAATGAAACCTGTACGTAATTTTTCTATGCGATAACGCAAAACCGTACACGATGCACTGAAAGAAATGTCACTCGTACTCTAGAAAATTAAAAAACATATTTTGTGCCTACGTCTGGTATCTTAGAAATTTGTTTGAGTAAGCATCAGAGAATAAAATAGAAAAAACATAACAAAAGCAGCGGTGTATAAAAGTTCAGGGAATAACAATTTAACTGAGATATAAGCGAAATACTAAGTGACCGATTCATTATGGATCACACGATATTATACTCCGCAATACATATTTTTTGTGTGTATTCCTCATCTCTTCAGCATTGAACAATCGCAGGATCAAAAACTAACGGCATATAGTGTGACATGTTGGCAAACATGTTACGTTTCAGAACACTTTATTGTTGATATGCTGGAAATTTCACAGTTCTTGGACGATATCTGGCTGATGTACGCCACACTTTTTAGCTTTTAGAGAGGACATCGACAAATCTTATATTTGTCAACGATCACTCTTTGTTCGTACGTACGTTGTTTAAATATTATTCTTCATTTATCGAAATACTTAAACAAACATACGTTTTACAGCTTACAATGCTTTTGTATTGTTTCATAGATTTAGAACAGAAAACATGAGTGATGTAATAACGATAACAAAGAATAATAACAGCAAGAAACAGAATGTCAGTAAAAACGGAAAATAACTTGCATAAAAAGGCAACGTATTTAACAATTATAGAAATGTATCCATAAAAAAGCTGATAAAAAATTTCACAAATTAGCAAGATATTAGATTTTAGCTCAGCAAAAACTCACTGCAGCAGGTTTAAAAAAATATAGTAAGATTAAAGAAATGATAGAAAACCTTATTCTAAGATACTTTTGTGTTCAATAAGGAGACGATATCTGTTACCCGAGAAAATTGGTCCGCAGTGCACTCATCTAACGTAAAGTACATGAAAAAGATATTTATTAATCGTTGTAGCCGTATTTGATTTCATATAGAGGAAATGAATAACGATTATACAGAAAGATGAGATACAAACTCATATTTCACATAAAACAGAGAATATAAGACATGAAAAATATTAAAAATTAAAAAAGAAAAATATCACCCGATTATACAGGTATGAATGTACATCTATTTTCCATAGTTTACTTCACTGTATACGACACGTAAAGAAAGAAATTTGGGCTTTTGTCGATGTTTACAGGTAAAAACAAAGAACTTGTATACATTCAGCACAGTGTGCAAAAACTGTCTGATTCTTTCTCTAATTGTTCTTTTTGTTTTTTTTTACTATTATGTTTTTTATCTGATACATCTCCTTGTGGTTGAGATGAATGAGGCTGTTGTCCGTGTTTTGGAGGAGGATGTTGTTGTTGTTGTTGTGGACGCTGATTAACATCTTTCGAATGGATATGAGCTTCATTATACAATTGTTCTTCTTCATCATGCAAAGCTAGTGCCATTTGATAACTTAAAAGGAACAGAGGAAAGAAACAATTAGTGTTTACAAACGAACGTGTACAAAATTATAACCTTATTAATGGATTACATGATAAAACAGTTTGTCAACAGAAATTTTCTGTGTAGTTTTAATGCGATTATAAAAAGTTAGACTTACTCTTGTTGTTCAGTTTCTGTTTGTTTTTTAAATATTCTAAAATATGCATCACAAAAGATACTATCACCATCAATATTTGTTAATGTTTCCCATACAATATCTGGTTGGTTTAAAAAACCTTGATCTGTCACTAATACAAGTAAATGATCCTTAAAATCAAACGAAACAAAAATAGTATCAGCCATAGATATATATTCATTTTACATCTGAACAGATATTTTGTCTATGTTTGCACATGTTATTAACAGCTCTAATAGAATACTATCTGGAAAAACTAATTCATCATGAATCGTCTGATCGACACTTTTTTGTAATTTTTGTTCGTACTTACATGTTGTTTATAAATTGTACTAAAATGATTATTTCGAAATAGTACAGCTAATTGATTATCACGCATTGTTTGATTTAATTCGATTAAACCATGATAAGTTAATTGTGATGCGTTATTTTCTAAAAATTCTTCGATTAATAAACCTATTTAATTGAAACGAAATAAACAATGAAACGGTTCTTTTCTATAAAAACTAACCTACTTTCACGTATTAACTCTTCTTTATCCGATTGTCTTTGACTAATGATTTTTTCAACCAACTGATTATAACCACAATCACCGATGATTGATAATAATTCATCATCTTGTGGATCAATCAACCATCCATGTAATAATTGTATACCCAATAAATCGAATATAACACACTCACGTGTATATTCAAATTTATGAACACTGAAAGTGAGAGAATTATTAGCTTTTCTGCGTGTAATAGTCTCGAAGGTCATTACATTTGATAGAGACTTTTTTAAATGAGAATAACTATGCAAGTACTACATAGCGATTTTATCCTGTTGTCATCAGTTATTATTTTATAGAAAACTATGTGATTAACTGAAGAATATACTTTCATGTATAAAAAAGCGTGAATATTTATCGGCAAAACGTTAATGTATAACCTAAGCGTGAATCACGTACGTTTTCTAGAAGTCTCGTAAAACAAAATGGTCAAGTACTAATTTACTTATGTAGCTAACTTTTTTTTAAACGTCTATATTTGTAGAGCAAACATTTCTAGTTAAAAAGAGACATAGTACAACTCCATGTGATCTCCTGTCGAAAAGTTACAGACATTTTCCTTCACGTTCTAAAATGTACGCACGGATGTACAGTATGTTCTTTCTTTTAAGACTGGTCGTATTTCGCAAAACGCTTCTTTCAGGTACATGCATGGATTAGTTTCAATTTGAAGTTAACACATGGAACTGGAACTTGACATAACTCGACTTTTGAATTTTGCTTTGATTATTAATACAGAACAGAATTTATTAAAACCTATTCATAAGCTGTGAACTTTTCAACCTTCTGATGCCTAAAAGTCAATAACTGAAAATGGGACTGTGGCAGGCTGTAGCCGCATGTATTGGCTGTCTTTTCCGGACAAATATCCTGGGAAAAATAGAACTAGTTATCCAGTCAACTGATTTTCCGTACAGCTGTGACCAGTGTAATGCATCTTCCAAATTTTCTCAGTATTTGTTAGCCTTCAAACTTTGCACAAATATTCTTCTACATATACTATATCTATAAAATTAGCGCAAAATGGCGCCATCATTTTTAGCTAGCGCTCCATGCTTTCCAAAAACTCTTGTTTTTTGCAGATAGATAGATCAGGAACACTTTTAAGCGAAAATAAGGTCATATTCGGAGTCAGCACATCGAATTGCATCGAACCATATATAAAACAATAAGTTTTAGATCGACTAATTATTTATTGAAATTTTTTCTCATGAACCAACAATCTGATTTTGTCTGAAAACGTTAATTTTTTCCTTAAAAGCAACAAAAATGACTAAGCAATGATAATTATTGATGAAAAAATGATTTAGAAGCACAAAATTCAGATGTTCGTCTGCTATTAGAAAAATTCACACGGTGGGAAGTGGCTTAAGAAGCGCGTAGCAGTGCTCAAGACGTTAGCAATCTTTAACGGTGAATCACACACATTTAGGAGAAAAACAGCAGACTGTTTTCTATAGTGAAGCACGCTTACTTATTTCAAAATCATAGGAAAAAACTATCAAAGAAATAAGATGAAAGTTAGTTATTTTACACCGCTCATTCTGTAGTAAAATGACATGTTAAACATACCGATCAAATTTAACGTTGACATCAAGACCTGTTTTTAATTTATCAAGTACAGCCATTGCATCATTTATATTTTGTTCATAATTTAAATGTTCTTCATCTGGTATATTCTAAAAAATAAACAACAAGGTATCTTCAAATAAAATGTAGTAAACAAACTAAACATACTTTTGGAACACATTGAAATAAAAAATCGACTAAATAAGCTAAAATTTGTTCGGCAGATAGTATACAAATATCGGCATTAATACAAATCTAAATGGAACAAATTAACAATAACGTTTAATAACGAAAAATGAGGAGTGTATAAGCAGATAGCTGTATATTACTCGCTACTCAAACTTTTTTATATTGTTTCATTGATTTGCTATATTTTTACTTTTACTCAAAAACTCTCCAGCGTACCTTTCAGTAGCACATACTTCTGAAATGCGTTTTTCACAGAAAATCTCGCCTACGAATACATAGATTAATAGTATTAGATAGGATTAACTGAATTTTGTGTTTCTAACGTGGTGAAACATAAAAATGATCAGTCTGTCCTAATCTCTTCGACAAACAAGCATAGTGGCATTGCATTCACAACTTACTTTTTGTCGTAAAAGTAATACATTCATGATTGCTAACAAAGGACACGGACCATTTGCATTCTGTAATAATATTGGGACTAACTCTGTGTTAAATTCAATCCATTTTACATAATATTTATCATTTTGTTCTATTTCTTCATGTTGTTGATGATTATTACTTGCAGATGCATCTGATGTATTTTGATCTTGTTGAATACTTTGTTTTAACTCTTGTTGTTCTTTTTTTCCACTAGTATCGCTGGTTGGTTCTGACGATGAATTATCTTCAAGTTCTTTTTTGTCGATATCAACTACTGTAACTGCATTAACAACTTTATCATCCAAATTTGAACATAACTGTTGTTCCGGCATAATTTCATTTTGTTCATCATTTGTTGCTGTTGTCTTATCAGGAGAAGCCGAATGTTGTGTGATGACAAGAGAGGGATCATTTAATGATGTTTCAACTACTTGATCGGGGATTGAGGAGGATATTTCAGAATGTTTTTGTTCTTCTTGATAAGATGCCATGATCGTTCGAAGAAAAGTTAAACAATAATATCTAAAACCAAATTAAACAGATACATAGATTTGTTGCCGTTTAGTTTACGTCTCATAGAGCCGTCTTATTAGAGAGAGTAAAATTCAATCTCATCTATTTACGAAGTGTGAGAGTGCATCATATGTCACTGACCTATAAAACGATGACTTCAACAAAAATACCAGAATACTGATTGCTGGGAGCAAGTGAAGAGGTGGTTTAGTAAATTTATCAACATTAGAAAAAAGATTAATGTATGGTAAACTGCTCAAAATTAACTGCAATTGGCCGCAGTTGTGATCAAACAGTTTTGAAAAACTATTACAAGAGCATGTCATACTTCTGAACTTTGAATAGCGTGAAATGCTTTGTTTTGGTGTCTTAAAATGCTGAATGAGTTCGATCGCATTAGAGAGCGAGATACGTTTGAAATAAGGAGGGTGTCGTGTGCTGAATGGCATGTAATAATTCGTTTAGCCGATAGAAATTATAATAACTTTGCGAAAATATTTTTTACATGATGACTGTTCTGCTGGTGAAGATTTTTGCATTTTAACTTTTGATTTTATTAAGAAATAACGAATCTATTTTTATTTCACTTGAAAATGTTCTCATTATATTATTAGGAACTTTTGCTTTAATGTTTGGAAACGAAAGTACTGTTCTGAAAGATAAAAAAGAAAAAGAAATAACCAATTCTAAAAGATTAGTAACCTTTGGCTGAAGATCAAAGGAAGGTGAAAAATCAGTTCTAAGAACGAGAATTTACTCTGAGTAATAACCGCGAACTGAATAAAAATAAAAAGCGGACAAAAGGCAACTAAGATGATCATAAATTGTAAAAAGAATGTATGAGTATAATGTATCTGCGCGACGAAGAGAATAATTGGTAAGAGAAAAGTCGATCGAATTTTTAGATGTGGACTTATGACCTGTGATCTATCTTACTCGAACTGGACCTGGACCTCAAAAGATGGTACAGAGAATATTTCCAGTTCAAGCACCGTCGGTTCCAATTGAAAGAGCATGTAGTCAAGCTAGTTTAATTATGTCACCGAAACGGACAAATATGAACCAGTCACTATTCGAACGCTTACTCTACTTAAGACCTAATAAACATATTTTATGAGAGATAACATAAGCGTTTTTTTATTTTTTAGAATGTAGTCAATAGAAGTTCACGATCATCTTCATATCATGATCATTTTTCTTGCTATATCAACATATTTTGTACTTGCACTTGTTTTGTTATTGCTATTTTATTTTTAAATGAGAACATTTGGTCAAATTCATAAAAACACTTTGCTCGCACAAAAGCACAACATTCAATCATCTGTATCGCATGGTCTCTGCCTAGTTATCTGCCAAATTAAAACTTTAGGATCCGAGGTCCAGGTTCACTTTTCAGGTCCGAGTCGGAGAAGTGCAAGTCCACTAGACCTGACATGGACCTTACTGTCTCTATTTACTACCACGCTCACCCTACTCACCATACTACCACCAAGGAAGTGATCTTATGGAGAGAAAAAAGATAACTGAATACTATGTCTTACATAAACAGCAATGATATCAATAACGTTAATCGCTATTCGTATAGTACAATCGAATTTCACAACAAGAACAACAAAAATCAGAAAAACAACCAACCCAACTTTTAATACCCATGACCAACACGCGTACAGTCACACACCTTTTATTGGACAGTTAGACCAATCATATTAATTTTCGAACCTGATTGGTCTAACGGACCGATAAAAAATGTACGACTGTACAAGTGCACTGTATGACTGCAAGCATTTTGGTCATGGCCACTTTTAATGACTTAGTCGACGACACGATGTACTAGTTAAATGAGTCACAGTCGTCTATTTAATTTATGATTTGTGGATGAAATATCTAATAAAAAGTGTTGTTTTGAGCATATGGAGGTATCACTAAGATATGTTTTCAGATATAAGGTCTGATGGCAACTGTACGTTTTTTCTCACGATTAATCCGATTTAGCTTACAAAACATTCTGGTCAACATACATGGCTACTACAACAAATTCAATTAAGAAAAATTTTTGGACTGGAAGTTCATATCAAGGCGAGATAAAAAATGACAGGTGTTAGTAAGATGAAGTGTGTTCTTGCAAAAAAAAGACGTAATTTTTTTCTGACGTTGTTTTAGACTAGAAGGAGAAAAATCTCGTTTTGTGTTCCCTTCGAATACGGTTTACCTCGGTGATTTCAAAGATGGAGAATTTGATGGACACGGTACATTGCATTATGCTAATGGAGCAAAATACGAAGCTACATGGAAAAATGGAATTGCACTAGAGGTAACCTCTATTAATATTGCAAAAATGCGAGCGCGGGAAATTGAACAAAGAAGTTTGAAATGTTTTGTAGGGGAAATATACGTTTCCAGATGGGCTTGCTTACGAAAGTGAAAATTGGGAATATTGTGATGGTTATGATCGACGATTTTACACCGAAATTATTGACGGACTAAAACCAGCTGGTAAGCGAAGATGTAATAAGTGTGACGATGCTAATTTTTTTCTTTGTCGGTGATTAGGTCGTTCACAATTGAAAAATACTAAAACACCAGAAGAAATTCCAGAAACTAATTATGATGTTGGAGATGGAATGTATGATCCGGAAACAAGAATCGTTACTGATTATCAAAATAGATTTTTGAGAAATGCAGGTATAGTTTACTCATAATTTTTCTTTACGTGAATGAATAGTTGATTCTTTTACAATATAGATGACGAAGAACATGCATGGATTATTCGAACGTGTCGCAAAGGTTGGGATGAGAACGTTGGTATTAATAATCCAAGACTAAGACCAGACATGGCACAACAAAAACACTAACTCAATCAATCCCTTCTTGAAAGGGCACATTTGCTGTTTTGATTTGATTATTAAACCTCATAAACAATTATTTTGATGGAAGTTAATATCTTAATTTGAGGACAGTAGCCTCTGTTGATTCATTATCATCTTCTGTCTCACATTCTCCTAACATTATATTAAGGATATATACCCTAATCAGGATATATAACCCTATTAGGGTATCAGATCATCGTCATTCTCATTGACTATTCTGAAATCTAACAGGCAAAAATCGGTGAACACCCGTATATGTCTCGGACTATCAAAAATAATTAAGTAACTTGTCTATATATAGCAGCATTTCTACAATCTCATCATCGATTGTAAGTTTAATAAAATCACTCAAATAATCAAATGTTTATGCAATTAGAATCCAGATGACATATCACGAGACAATGATATCTGACTGCTGCAGTTTTTTCTTTCAATTTCTGTTTTGAAGTGATTTCGAAAGCGTCGATCGAGGAATCGAGAAAGAAGTCGAAAATAATATTCACTGTGATTGTACCGTGATTGTACTATGTGACTTTCCGGATGAATATTATTTTCGACTTCTTTCTCGATTCCTCTGTCGACGCTTTCGAAATCACATCAAAACAGAAAATGAACGAATTTGAAACTGTCATAACTCTGTTTACACTTGAAGAAAAAAACTTTCTTATTAGTAATGACTAGTTTATGATGCCAGCATAGGTTAGAAAACAATCCGTTTTTTAGTATTCAAAAATTCATAATAACGACCTCTAAATTTCTACAGAAGATACACTATTTCGTGTTATATCCATAACTGTGTAACAGAAAATCAAGAAAGCCATTTTTGGTTGCAACATTTCTACAAATCCGACTGGAAAAACCGTATCTTTTCCTTCAAACTTTTTCCACTTTTCATGTTAAATTATACGTATAGTAGTCCAAATCAGATATCTTCAGAAATTTTCAGGTCGTTATGATGAATTTTGACGGAGTTATGATTTTTTTAATATTAGGTGGAAATAGTCTAAAACGGGTTACACATAAAATCAGTTTTCTGTTCAAGATCTCTCTTGACTCCCGTTTTGGAGAGCATACTTTGGGTTACCTACCCGAGTAAAAAAAGTATTATATTGGCACTGTACTACTTTAGTTTCTGGAGAATTAAACTTGTTTTTCAGAGACTCTCGCACGATCCTACCTTCAAAAAGGATTTTGAAATTCATTTTGTTTGCGAAAAGATGGGTTCTGATGTTTACTTTTAGAAACTGAAAACCGCAACTCTGTATCACTTTTCATTCAGTTTTTATTCAAAAAACAGTCGAGTTCATTCTATTTTGACATGGATAGTATCAATTCAAAGTACGTAATGTCTTTGGAATTACAAAAACAAATTTTTTCAGCGTTACAAATTTTGGACATTGTTTTGACCAATTGACACTTGTTATTCCAGAAAAAAGCATCTGGAACTGTGTTAAAACATTTACATTGTTTTTAAGTTACTCAGGAATAGATGTTGAGTATAAGCAAAACACGAATCGTTTACTATGCTAGTAAGAACTCAACGGCTTGTCCAACTAACGGCCTCTATTTTTTGCTTTTTTTCGAAAAGTTATTGCAATAAAGCTACAAACTAATCTAAAATGGCAACTAGATAAGTAAGTAGATTAATATTTCTCTACAAAATGAAAAGTGTCTCAGCTCTGAACGTTGATTCGTTATGAAAATACAGCTGTTGTACAAACAGTTCAAAAATCGATCTTTGGGCTATCTGAAAAGCATGTCTAAAAGAGTGAAGACGAGCTGATAAACATTGAACAAGTATACCAGTTTGTAGAAAATTGTTCGTTCTACAAGATGTGATAGCTTGTCAAGTTCGAAACTACTCTAATTAATCTGTATTAATCAAAGAAAAACCAGAAAAACAGTAACGTGGTGGCAAAAAACGGTCAAAACTGTCACAGCGTTACCATTTTTCTGGTTTTTCTTTGATTAATACAACTTCTTAAAATCACAGTGCCATAGAAGGATAAAACAGCTGATTTTAAATTATCGATAAAGCCAAACGTTGCGAAAAGTTTCATTATGTTTATTTCTTCTTGTGTGTTTATGATCTTTTTCTTCGACAAATTCATTTTTTATTTAAAAATAATGCAAAATGTCAGAATACAGAACATCCTATGTTTAACATTTGGTCAGATGAAGAAGAAGAAGAATAAAAGTTTGTGTCCTTCTTTCTCTTTTTCGATTAAAAATAAATGTGCCAGTTGGTAAGTGGGATTTTATTTAGTTTAATTCACACTTGAGATAATAAAGTTGCGGCCTAAAGTTGAAGACCACTTTTATTTCTGGATTTTCTTGTGAACAAAAGTAGCTAGAAGATATCCGATGACAGATTTGTGTAGAGAGTACTTTGGAGCAACTAGACACATAACAAAAAGAATTTTAATCT